CAAGGCAAAGCGATATCAAGCCGTCACCTAATCACACGTGTGCTGTGGGGCAATGGCTTAAGGCCCATATCCTTAAATAACACAAACCTTATTTGTATCCGTGCTTGGGCTAAAACCTGCCAACATGGATCGCTGCTGAGCCAGTGGCTGTCTGTGGAAGTTTCTTTTTAAAATGATCTCCACAGGAAAGAATCCAATCAAAAATGTGCTGTCAGACTGTACCCCGGCCCAATTATGCATGTGTCACGCTGGTTCTTGTGTGAGCTGGATGGTGAATCTGTGTGCAGGATTAGACCTTGGTGTTACATCTTTGTCAGGGGATGTTACTGTAACTGGTCATCCACAAAAATAATGAGACAGTCCACCAAAGTAAAGCTTGTTTACCCTGAAACCCTCCTGCAGCCCATGTAGGAAACAGTTTGGGCTTCTATATGTGGTGCTCCATAGAAATGTAGAAAACACAATGGAAATCCTGCTGCTCCTTCAAAAAAAAAAAGATAAAACCACAACAAATTGTACACTCCTATTCTGTTCCATACATACCAGTTTAATTAGATTAACTGCACACTCACTGCTGACTGTTTGCACACACAGCTCCCATGTAGCATACGCTCTCTTGTTGTATTTTTATTATGCTTCTTTCATTTGCTGCTTTAAAGTGCCTTAGATTTGCGTCACCTGCTTATATTTCATTTGTATTTTGTGGCATTCATGTTGACGGCAAAGTAAGAATTTCATTGTACAGGGAAACATCTTTCCTAACTGTGCATATGACAAATTAACACTTTGACCAGAAGTAATAGCTTACTGTGGGCTAATGATCTTGCCTTTACGCCATAAAAAGACAAACTGTGCAGATCTTGTCTGGTCAGGCTTCATCATTCTCTCTACTGGAAAGCTGAGTCCTTAATTTACCCAATTTAGCCCAACTGTAAAGATCAAATGAGTTTACAGCATAGTACCGAGCTGGGTCAGCCTCTATTCCTCTGTTTATTTATACCATACAAGCAGAAGTGAATCTAATGCTCATGTGAGACTTACACTTCCTTATAAATAATTATCAGAAGTGGCTTATTTTGCATTCTGTGTCCTTGCATATAGTGCAAACCTTTAAATTCCAAGTACAGGCTGCTGGCCTTTTCACCATAGTACACAATGAGGGCACGAGATCAGCAAAGTATGAAAGGGTTAAAATTTCTCCCCTGCGTACCAGCACACCTTATGACATGACTGTTTGACTGATGTTCTTATCCAGTGTGGCCACTCATCCAAAATTTTGTGGATCCACCACTGACGCCAGACATACCATGTACGCTACTTACGTTATACAATCTTAATCCTACTTGATCAGCGGGGCACCAGGTCCTGAGTATGTCCCGCCTCTGTGACACAATAAAAGACTGTTCTCCAGAAACCAGCTTGCTCCACACACTATCAGCCATCATCACAGGCTAACACCGCTGAGTCAGTGAGAGGGACCAGCAGCTCAATGAGGGGGGGTAGCAGCTTAATATGCATGAAGCTACTATGAAAGGAAACTCTCTCCACATAACAAGATTTTGATATGTAAGAGAGAAATGTGTCTTTCAAGACGTGACTAGGGGCTGTGCTTGTACTGTACTTACTGTGACACTAAGGGCTAACATGAGCCTGTTAACATGCTGATGTGAGGTTTTATCATCCAGCATCTTAGTTTACTGTGTTATCATGCTAACATTTGCTAATTAGTGCTAAAGACAAAGTACAGGTGAGATGGATGGAAATGTTAGTAGTTTTGTATTTATTTTGTGATGAACCAAAATACTGGGAAAAAAATGAACACAAATTCATATAAATTAAAATGAATATACAAACAAGTGATTCAAAATGACTGAATTGTGGATTTTCATTTTTTTTACCTAAATAATTTCAACACACATTTGTTTTTGTTTTTTTCTTTTTTTATATAAAGCTGCACCAATCAATATTTTAGCATTAACAACCGGTCAAGTGACGACTATGTGAAAGGGGAGGAATCCAGATACTGTATAATGATCATCCAGCTACAGTCTGTTTCACCATTTTAGTGTCTTTCAACTCACTGTTTTGGTTTTATGGACTGCAAGCTATTTTCATCAACCTCATTTTCTCTCACAGCAGTTTTCAGCAAAAAAGCTCCAAAATCCCACTTTACACTACCCGCTCAGTGCCACGTGCCAGACTGGCAACGTTAATGGCTAGTTGGTGAACACTGTGGAGCATAGCTTCTAAATTAGCAGATATTTCTCTCAGCAATTGATGGAAACAAACACAAAAGCTGAGTAAAAAAAGAAAATTTTGGTGCTGGTTGGACAGAAACACGACTCCTGATAAATATTAATCTTACTTGATGTTCAATAGATGTGAAAAAGCAACTGTTTTAATTTCATAGGATCAGAATATCTCACTTTGTGTTCACAGATATTTCTGCCAATCACACGTGACCAAAGAAATCAATTATAGCTTCTTTAAAAATGTTAAATTCACTTTCTTTTACATGAGGCCCCATTATATGTATTTACCCCTTCAAGCAGGTTCCCCTGTAGAATGTCCTGATCTGTAAAGAAGCTATGCTCATAATAATGAATGGTTGTGAGAAATATGAAATATATAACTTGCCTTGTTTTTACTGAAGTCAAGAACCATAGAGATGGAAGTGAATTGCTCAGGGGCTTTGAGCTTTAGTTTCAGACCCGATTTGTTGGGACAAAAGGTCAGAAAGTCATGAGCTAACACCCCTGGGTCCCTCTCTGAGTTTATGAAATACAGCATGTAACAGTAACACCAAGAGATGCCTGGAGGTCGTGATTCAAGCTGACATTTACTATCAAACAGAAACAAACTCTGTTTCATTATGAAAGACGTTTTACACACATCTGTAATAGGATAGCAAACACAGGTGGGAATCAGTTAGAATTTACGGTTTCTGCTCAGACATGGCTGAATCTAAGCTGAACAGACTAAAAGGCACTCTGGTGGAGAAACCTACCTGTTCTACAATTTTCAAATAATGAGGTATAAGAACAACTTTTAAAATATACAATAGAATGTGGTCATTATTCTTAATCACATTAACAGGGCCAATGACACATGGTAACATAAAACGTGCTTTTAAACTGCCTAATTAACCTATATATCCCATTACAGTCTATTACCTCTGCATAGCTTGAACAGTTGGACACAGTGATGAATGACAGCATTAACAAGGAGCACATCTCGACGCACAAATCCATCTGAGCTCAAATAATGGATTCAGTGGTATCATAGCAACAACAGACAAAGTCTGGGCAGAGAGAGCCCGGTAGAGATCCGAGAACTACAATAATAATAATAATAATATGTATTATTTTTCTACTTTGTCAGAACTGACTGCAGACCATGCAGCTTCCCACACAGTTGACATCCGAATCCTAGAAGCACTGCACGACGATACATATAAGTTAACACAAAAGAATATATGTCAAAGCATGTACTTTGTTAGGTTGCAGTTAACAGAGTAATGGAGAAACTCTTTAATCTGTGCAAAACTGTGACATGCTTTTTAAGAGTGCAGGGACAAACAACCTCTGCCACCCTCCTCAGCCTCCGACGTGAGCAGAGACGTTTCTCTTTGTGATCTCGATTCATGAGCGCACATTAAACCAGCAACACTTACTGAGACAAAATCTGCTGAAATAAGAAAGACCAGAGTTAACACTAAGAGAATATTACTAGCATATTTGTTCTTGTACAATACTGCTTTAAATGTTATGACCTTTTAGTGATGATAACCAAAATGACTGTAAGAGCATTTTCAAATGTCAGATAAAACTGACTAAACCTCCATTTGATCAAAAACTGGATTTAAGCTTATTTTTCTAAAACTCGTTTAAATTTCACTAAAAATTGCTTCAGCTATGGTTAAGTAAAACCATTTTCACACATGAACTCTGGACTACGTCCACAGAATCAGGCCCGGACTTTGTCCAGAGTTGCCCCCTTCACACATGTAGGACACAACGTGAGATAGTCGATGTCAGATGTGTTCTCACCTACTGGAAATACTCCAATTGGTTTAAGTGCCGCAGGCACACCTGAGCAGAGCGTGCAGGAGGCAAGACATGATGCGGTCATGTAGCCAGTTTGTAATTTGGTCCTAAATAACCCAATCGCCTTGTCTGACGATTCTGGCACCAGCTCTTAGCAACACAAGTTCCTGAATCTTGTTGTGTCTCCAGATGAATATTTTCATTGACGTCTTCATTGTAAATGACCATATTAGTTCACCATCAGATGTTTCCTTCCAGTTTTGCACTGGTCACATGACCATTAACATACCCACCAGCTTCATGTGTATACTTGGAACTATACGCTGCTGTATTCTCACATGGGCTCTCTCCAGCTCACTCAGACCTTAAGCAGACTTGGGAGCTGGAATATTTAAGGTCCAGGTTGACTGACTGGGACATTTGGCTCCTCACATACAGCTCTCCCAGGGTAACATCTAGAGAATTTCAATGTTCCAGTGAATGTCTACAAAGGGCTATATGTAACAATTCATTCAAATCTGAGCCTGTACAATGCAAAACTGCATGTGATTGATTTCTCATCATCTGACATAGCAATCTCACAAAACATCTATTTAGTAGTTCTGCAGCTTTTGATCATATATTCAACTGTTATTTCCAAGGGCAAGCCTCAGGATAAAACATGACATGACATATTCAAGACGAACTGATTAAGTCGGTATAAAACAGACCAAGCATGACAACTTGATACTGACTGCAGCAGCAGAGAGAAACTTCCCACATCTCTGTTGGAAATGGGTTTTGCACTGCACACAAAGAACTTTCTCTGCTAGAGTTGCTTGACTGTCTCTGATTGGCTTCTGTAAGCTCAGAAAGAAAGAGATACTGCCCTCTCCTGATTGGTTGAGAGCAGAAGGGGGCAGGTACTGTGTGAGAACAAATACAGTGTACAGTGTGCAGCCTGACAGGTACGCTCCCATGCATCTGCTATCTTCCTCTTGAACACTGACAGTGAAAGTTTTCAGACGAGCATCCACAAATACATTTTAGAGTGAAAGAGCAACAGGCATTCAACATGTCTTTCAAAGTGATGGAGAAGACAGAAGTGCGTCTGGTGTTTTTGGGAGCAGCAGGAGTGGGGAAGACAGCCCTGATTCAACGATTCCTCAAAGACACCTTTGAGCCTAAGCACCACCGCACAGTGGAGGAACTCCACAGAAAGGAATATGAAGTGGGGGGTGTCAAAGTCACCATCAACATCATGGATACCAGTGGGAGCTACTCCTTCCCTGCCATGCGTAAGCTCTCCATCCAGAACAGTGACGCCTTTGCCCTTGTCTATGCCGTGGATGACCCTGAATCCCTGGAGGCGGTCAAGAGTCTGCGAGAGGAAATCCTGGAGGTCAAAGAGGACAAGTACACACCAATTGTTGTGATAGGCAACAAGATTGACCGTCACAATGAGCGTCAGGTGTCCAGCGAGGATGTGCTGTCCACAGTGGAGCTGGACTGGAACCACAGCTTCCTGGAGTCTTCAGCCAAAGACAACATCAATGTGATGGAGGTTTTCAGGGAGCTGCTCCAGCAGGCCAAACTGCCCAGTCGGCTCAGTCCGGCGCTGTGCCGGAGACGAGAAACCTTCCCCAAGGAGATCAATAAACACCCTCGTATCAACAAGACCAACAGCTGCCACATCTCATAATGGTGTGGAGCTGCTCAGAAGGCAACCACAGGAGGAAAAAAACTGAGGAAGGATGAGAGAAAAATGCCCCAAAAAGACTGAAAGGGCTTTGTTGGTGGGGAGCTGACTGGACAGAGACAAACCAAGAGACAGTGTGAAGACTAAAGAAACTGAGCACTGGAGGCACAGAAATGCTACAGCAGGGACAGAGATGTAATGATGAAACCATACCACCTTAAAGACATGAAAGAATGTGGCTGAACAACAGTTTGAACAGTAAAAAAAAAAAAAGAAACGGTCCACAGACGTTACTTACTATGAATGTCAAAAACAATGCTGTGACAAATGGTGACAGTACAGAAGCAGCGTCAACAGTTTTCACTTAAATCTCTGTATATGTGATGTTTCAGTTTGGCGTTTTGTCTTACTAGTGTTAAAAAGGTGCAATAATTAAAGTGAAGTGTATTTGTGCAAATGTTTGTGTCTACATATGATGGTTTTATGAATCAGATGAACAATTGAAGAACCTGGAAGCTGTCCTGAAACTCTGAAATGATGCTTTGCATAACCATTACTAATTTGCTGTTAAAATGTAAACTATTGTTTTTAAATACTAAAACATTTAACTAATAAAAACTTATTTTGTTTAGGGCTGCACCATTTTTTGTTAAGAATTTCAATGTCAAAGTGTTTCTTATTCACTATGTCACTGGTGATGTTTGTTTTATTCATCCAATGCTGATTTTAATGCAAATAAAGCCACCATCTGTATTTTCACTGGTGATTTTTCTTTGTGGCAGAATAGCAGTGGGAAATTAGAATTTACATGGTCAAACTTAAAGATATGATGTACTATTTATGTACTATTTAACTGCTTCTAAAATAAAATCAAGACTATATGACATGCCTTTGAGTTGGCTGCACATTTTCTACTTGTATCACGTTGAAGTAAAGTAAATGATCGATTTGTTGCACAGGTCCAACTCACACAGTGTGGATTCTGTGATCTCTCTGGTCTGTGTTGTACTGCCCTCTAGTGGCCATTATGTAACAACAATGCAACAATTTGATAAATGCTCTCTTAGTTCATGAGGAGCCAGGTGTTCTCAAACCATGCCAAGGTTTCAACACATGAAAATGAAATAATAGAAAAAAATAAACGTCTCATGAACTCATGCCACTGTATGTGAGGTAAAGTCAAAAACAAAAAGAGAAAATCAGCTACTGAAAACGCATTCAGATGCACAGATGGCGTTTCAGTAGTTGACAGTCTAAGACCTCTGAGTCATTTGGTATAGACGCATGTCATCAAAGTGTTATGCAGGAAGACAGTTTTCATCACCACCAAATAAGTGCAGCAAGATTTAAGACAAAATATAAAAATGATGATGAAGATGGAGATGATAGTTGACATGAGGAAGGAGAGGAGAACTCATGGGCCACTGTTCATCCGGGGGCTCGAAGTGGAGAGGGTGAGCAGCTTCAAATACCTGGGCGTCCACATCAGTGAGGACCTTACTTGGACACATAACACCACACAGCTGGTCAAGAAGGCCCAACGGCAGCTCTACTTCCTGAGGAGGCTGAGGAGGTTTGGCATGTCACCTAGGATACGCTGCAACTTCTACAGCTGTATCACTGAGAGCATCTTGACCAGCTGCATCAC